AGGGTCTTCGGTCTTCCCAAGTCCCCTCCCTTTTCTCCTTCCGCTGATTCCCGCTCATCGCCTCCTCCCTTCGTCTGGGTGTTTTCGATTCGACGTTGACCACTTCCTGTCCCTCTCTGGGTGTCTTCGATCGAATCACTTAGTTCGAGAAGAGGCCGTATGGCTCGGGATCTATTGTGGCAGAACAAGCCCTGAAGAAAGCCATCTCGAAAAAACTGAGACTGCAAAACCGAATGCCAATGGGATGAGTGGACTTCACGGTTCGGATTACCCGATTCCTGCCATCCGAGCTAGAAAAAAATGAGTCACACAATTATCTAGAGAAATTCTGGCAAAATGCTTTCTCTAGCAGATGATCGAAGATTTCATCGGTCGCCATTCGAAGTTCCATTCGATAGGTTTCGAAAGGCTCACCAGATATGAATTGAGACAGATGAGTAGAGTCCACGCTGATTATATAAATCAGCCGGTGGGTCCGGAGCATCCCTCGATCGTATGATTTTCCATTCAGGTATGAGGGCCAGCTTGATCCCATGACAACAGGAGCCTTTACTTCGGTATGATACCACATGATAAAAGTGAATGAATTGTCGACTCTTGGAGAGTCAACGAATTATCCATCGTCCGCATGCGACAATCGAAGCGGCTTCACAGATCCTTCGCCTTAACCGCGACACCGTCTTCACCTCGAGCTCGACGGCTTCCGTACGAATAAGGAACATCATGGTGGTCCCGATCATCGATTCGAAGTTGCATCGGACGTCGTCTTCCGATTTCGCTGTCCACGAGTCGAATTCTCGGGTCCGAGGGGAATTCAACACAGGCATCGAGTAGGTCAGGAAGAAAGAAATCTCTGAATTCTCTCGCTATTCACGAAATGGAGATACACTGTACGCGGAGATTCATCGACTGGGAGAAAATTCGCATGCACCCTGAGGACGCCCACGGTGTCAGGCCTGTCGCGAAGATCGCGACGATTTCCACCAAGAGTTTTGACCTTACCCTCCTCGTCAGCAAGCTCGGAAGCGAGAAGAGGACGCGGAGAACCTCGGAACAAGGCGATGATGTCCATTGGTACGTTTCGGTCGTCCCCATGCCGATTCTCCGGTATGGTTGTGGTAAGCGCGGCAATTACCACCACCAACGGCAACACGGTGTAATGAATCGGTTTCCGCGCCATCAACTCACATCAGCATCAAAGTATAAGCTCTCTACTTCCGGATGCCATGAAAGCCACAAACCGAGGGTGTATGACAACCGCGCCGGCCAAGCAACTAGATCGTCGTATACAAATCGATTTATCTTTTCGGGACCGCCATTGCAGAAACATCCCGACACTTCTCTTCCCTGAAGCCGTCCTTGGACTTCTTGGAGATGATTTCCTCCTGGCACCTTTCACACCTCTTTCCGAGCGGGGCAAGCCACCTCGCGGCAGCCCCTGAGTGCGGTCTCCAGGAGACGATCAAGGACAGTTCCAAGCACGGCCACGCCGAGGTCCCTTGTGCGGAACCTCTTGAGCTGCTTGGAAGCAGCCGAGCCGCGGTCTCTGCTCCCGAGCGAAGTAGTTGTATGAGGGAAACACTCTTCGAGTGCAGCGAATCGGAAGTTACGCGGTTCCCGCTTCGAGCGCTGCGTGATTACGAAAATGAAATGGCACAAATAAGAGGAGGACGATCAGGTCGAGCTTTCTACGCTTTTCTGATTTTGAACTAGGTCTTCGTTGTTGATCCAGTCCCCTTCAAGGGAACGCCATCAGGAATCACAACGGTGTCACTTAATTCGCGACTTCCATTGAACCGCGAGGGGCTGTAGCGCGGTCAGCCAAACGCATTTATTACGTTACGGGCCCCACAGGAGGAAATAGTTGAGGGCTCCGAGCAAGCAGTCACGCAGACCGTGTCACAGTCGGCAAATTGAACCTGTCGGCGGAGAGGTTTCTCATAAGTGAATTTCGCATGATATCTCCATGACGACGGAGGAAATTTTCCTTGTCTACCCGCTTGCCGGAGAGAATGAAGGGAGGTCATTAGCGGGAAAGTAGAGCAAAAGCTTGACTCTGAGAGTGAAACCTAGCGCATGGTGCTCCTCAGGAAGACGAAAGAACAGGAGATTCCAGGTGGGTCGCAAGCTGGACTTCCCCTGTGCTTGTCGGCAAAACCCTCATCCAAAGACGGAATCAGGAGAGCGTCCCCCGAGACGGAATTTCTGAAGTTCTCGGGAAGGAGCTTGTTCTGAACTGGACCTTACACTTCTTCTCTCCCAGTCTGCGGAGATCGACCCCGATCTATTTCAAACGGACAAGCAGGCCTATAGAAATTCTCGATACCGACAAGCCCATGTGTGACGACGGAGCTCCGTGGCTCGGGAACAGCGATGTAGTGCCCAGCATGCCTCGATAATGCCTGAGTGAGGCGTATTCCTCGAATCCCGAGCCGGAGCCCCGAGGTTTTTTCCCGAACATTCCCCAAATCTATCATTCCACGGTCTACTTACCGATGGTTGTCCAGATGAACCTTCAGTCCATAAGGCTTGACCTTCAGAAAAAACGGCTTTCTGGCGACGGCAATAGAGATTCTGACGATGCACCCGGAGCCTTGATGGCCGGGGCGCATCGACCCTCCCCCCTCGCTACGTCACTGTTCGGAAACGTTCGATAGGTCGAAACTCAGAGGAGATATCAGCGTCGATTTCGTATCGAGGGAAAGCTGATGTTACCCCTAGTCAGGTATCCCTGCGTGACTGATGACTCGGTACTTTTCCAAAGGTACCGATACACTGCGACTCCATTTTTGGTGGAAACTTTACTGTAGATACTGATCAGTCTTACCCGATTTCAGTAGCTCCAACGAGAAATGAGATTCGCACTCTGCTACTTCAGTGACCGATGGATTGATGCCATATCAAGTGCTGATCCCATGAATCATAACCGGCGGGCTCGATGAAGATTTCGCTCCCAAGGACAGGCGGAGATATCAACGGAGAGATCGAGTGCCAGAGAGGAACATTCGAGCTTCCGCTTAGAATGTACAGTACTGATCGAGTTAGCGGATTGAAGACATTCTTCATGTCGCGACGGCGCCAATGATCTACACATAGCACACTGAGACCCGAAGCTGTTTGCTCGCCCACGGCCGGTCCAATCCATCGTCCAATATTGTCATGAAATTACTGCTCTATTCCCGGTCACACTTTTCCGAGAGATGATGTCACCCCGATTGATAATCTAGAGAGTCATGAATAAATGTTGCATTCATGCGCATCTCATCTCAGAGGACATTTCGGGCGGCATGATGACGGATATGTAAAGATGGCGTCTTCGTCGGAGTCGCGAGACGGAGTTGACACTCAAGAAAGCAGCGAATGATTTGTGATGTATCTTCGGCCCTCGCGGTATGAACAGACCGCAGAATCTCCCAAAGAGAGTGTGATGGCTGAAGGCCTTCGTTTCGCGGAAGCTTATCGATTATTGTATCATCACGGTGATACAACTGTGGCGCCATGCAGTCCTTCCGACGAAAACTCACGTTGACGCGCACACATGGTAGCCATACGGAGAGCGCGATCTGCCGCCAACTCGATAAGCCTGGGTGCGATTAGTGCTCAGATTGCAGAGACACAGCGCCGGCGCGCGGCGGTGGGAAGAGAAAGGAGGAGCTGGAGCGAATAGTCAAGGGCGTCAGCTTGGGAGCCCTTCATCTTACGTAGGAGTTCCGCTCCCGCCATGAGGACGCGGAGGAGAATGAGGGAGCCACCCGAAGGAGCGGGTCCTCTAATTCACAACAGATTGTGCAGACCGCCAGCCTCGCAGATGGAGACTCCCGATCGCCGTTGCATTCCGGCGGCAAATGATTGTGGCTTATTGAGAATCGGGGATCGCGGCACATGAGAGAGACCGGGCGATTGAATTCTTCCTGGAGGAAAGAGGATTTCTCAAGGTTAGTCTATAGAGGGGTTCCCCTGACCCAGCCGACGGTCTCGTGACACTTCCCGGTGGTCCGGGAGACGCCGAATCATTGTCCCCCACGGCCTACGGTTATAGCATACGATTGTGGATTCGCAAGAGCAACGGAGAAGGCACATCAGTTCCCTTTCACAGCAGAGAACCTTGGAGCATATATGTATCTACATCGTATTATTTACGAGACCCGGAGTCGGTCTAATGATTCGGAGGAGGTCTCGAAGGACGAAAAGGTCGGGAACCTCTGCTCCACAGCAATTCACCTTAGTCCCGGAAATCCTCGCATCGTCTCACGGACTGAGGGTCGATCTCTTGTACACGAGGCGAAACTATTTGATGCTCGTAAGAATCACACATAGCCTGGATTCCTCCTCTCTTGAAGCCGATCGAGCTTTGGACCGGCGGTCTACCGCGGCGAAAGCCCGCAAGTTGTTGCGATTTTCATTGACACGCATAACCTCCCACGGAAAGAGATGTCGCTCCCGGAGACGATATATTTCATCGGGAGGTTTCGGTGTCAAGTGTCACGCGGAACGGAGATACCAGTCATTCGTCAACACGAAACGTGAGAAAAATACAGCAGGCCACGTAAGAGCAGTCTCCATCGAGAGAACATGTCCGAGACAATCTCTAGCGCCTACCTGAGCGCCAAGAAATATTTCGTGTCTTCCGTTTGACCGCAGTTCGCCGTCCTTATTGTTTATTGTACAGGGCCGTTCAGTGAAACTGAACAAACCGAGCTCCTTTTCCCTCATGAGTCATGACTGAGAGGCTGCCCGAACAACGTGAAGCCGAGTCAAGAAAGGTTCCTCGCGATGAAGCCTTGTTATGACGTTGTTGAGGATCATGTGCATCGCGTTGCATAGTCCAAGGTCGACAAAAGCTCAGATCACGAACGAAGTTATCGTACTTGAGCAGATTAGAACGATATTCCGCCAGAAACGCTCTTTCCACAGCCGTTCTCCCTCCTCGATCTCTTCTCTCCTGGATGGGACTGACAGGGGGGTACATAAAGCGTCGTAGACATTGTTCCATCTTCAAACGAGCGCGATTCTGAGCCGCAGCAAAATACACGACGTGACAGTGACCGTTTCCTTCGCCTTCCTTCGTCCCAGTGATTTCTCAGACTCTTGGCGTGAACGGTAAATTCAGGACTTCCTTGTAGCTCTGCTTCGCGAATCGTTATGATGTGCGCAAAACTGAAAGTTAGCGTGGTGACAACACTATTGATTGCCTTGACGGTCGTTATGCTCGCCTCTCCATCCCAAGCGGCTCGGATCTACGAGAAAGAATCCAAGACGAAAGAGCCGCCGAAGAACATGGAGAAACCTGACGGGTCTGTGGATAAATACGCTGAAGAACCCTCTGACAGATTGACTTCGATCTACAACTACATAAAGCAACTCGTTCAGGGAATCAGTGGACAAGAGAAGAATGTGGACATCTTCAAGAAGATTCGAGATCACGTTGAAGAAACGTATGCGGTGCATGAGCCCAACGAGCTGGAAGACGATGAAGGTTTCGAACGCTTGTGTCAGACCACCAATAAATGGGTTCTCCTCAATCGAACCTTGAACACGAACGGTGAAGAAGTTGAGATAGTCCACGACATCTACGCCCAGTGGTATCACTACTACGAGTGTGTTGACGCCGATCAGCCTTGCCTGGCCATTAAGGATAACTTCGAGAGCTCTTGCGTCCAAACGGAAGCTTTCCAGCTTATGTACGCACGTCCCTTAGGAGCGCCGCACGCTCGCCCCACTTTCATGTACGTGCTTGTTCCCAGGGACTGTGTCTGCAAAGCTCACACGATCAAAGCTAACCAGCCGTTCCCAGAGTGAAGTGGAGAAAATCTCACGACAAGGGACGAAATCCATGATACTTTCGAATGTACATACAATTTCTCTATTTATTGCATTATGCGGAATACTGACAGGCCATGAGAAATCGGCCGAGCAGCCAGGGACTTAGCAACATTTGAGCCCGGATGTTGCCGACACAAAGCCGATCTTACCTACTCTTCCCCGTTTGATAACAAACTCGAGAACTCTGCCAATGCACAGGCCCTCGCTCAGCCGGTTCCGGAAGAGCGACACTGAACATGAAAATGCAACGGATACATATAAGAGTTCCCGAGGATTCTCCGCTTGCCGCCTGTGGAGGGGGGGTTAATCTCGTGCCCGGTGTGTTTTTGGACAATTCTCAATAAGAATGATGCGATTGAGCTCGTTGGTGTTCATTCTTCATTCAGTCTTCAGGTGTCGCTTCCTCGTGCTGATGCGGAAAAAGTGCTGCGGATATAGACTCTGGGATCCTTCCGGCTTGGGATCACCGCATCCCTAATTAATGAATGAGCTATGTATGAATACCGCTCTCTGATATTCCGATATTCCCCCCGGAGAGACAGTCGGCTCTGATCTCTCTCGTCAAACCATCAACGCTATCGGCTGGCTCTTCTCACAGTTCGCTGTTTTTTCGACGAAACTTCCCGGTACTGCACGTTTTCGGGATCCTTTCGCAGATTCAAGCCATCTCGGAACAATTCGCCTACATCACCATCGGGTTGAGTTGTCAATCGAAAAGGAGATCAATATCTCAATCGCAGATATCGAGAGTAATTTCGAGGAATCGGCCCTTGAACCGGTAGATGCTTCACGATCTGATCAAGGAACGAGTCAGGTGAACGAACTCAAATGTGCCGCGGCTCCCGCTTCCACACGGAGTCCGCTCCAATAGGGCCTTCTCTGCAGCGTCATTCAATCCTATTCTCCGCACGTTCTTTTAAGGGTGCATCGGGCCCGGCCGTTGCGAGGGGATACGGCAGGAGTCGACTGGTAGCGGCACAAAGCGACGATATGAACCCAATCTCGAGAGCTCCATTGAGCAAGGACCAAAGGTCTCATCGAAGAATTCTTCTCTTTTGTCCTCTCCGCGGTGGGCTTTGCTGGTCGTCACTGCAGCCTACGAGCGACCGATCGACATTGCCTCGCCTAGAAAAGACCGTGTTCTTCTTTTTCTCCACCTCCGGAGTTGCATTGAGCAGTCTGATTGTCGCTCCCCAATGGAATCGCCTACGCTCTCTTTTGTGAAGGATCCAATGACTGTCGCCTCTCTGAAGCTCACTCGAGGGATTTTCCGAGTGATTCACTTGATCGAGGAACTGGGAACATTTCCGAACGGAGCTTTTTTCGCGATTCTTGAGGGGATAGTTCTTCTTGGAAAATGAGGAGAAATTGAGTGGACGAGATCACAGGCGCCGCGTTTATCATATTACTTTATCCTCGAGAAAATGAGGTCTGACAATGAGAAGCGGTTCGAAGCGAGCGAATATGATGAAGAAAGAGAATCCTCTTCAACAGCAAACTGATCCTCTGTGATGTCAGGCATGCTTGGTGCGCCCAAGGGACTGGCGAAAATCCGAAAAGGAATTCGGAGGCTCATTGAGCAGGGAGTCTGATCCTTGTCACGTCTCGACAGGTTCAGGAGACGGATTTGCAGGTTCTGGCTTCTTAGGCAGGAACAAATTCTGGATCTCTTTCAATAGAGTCGGAACGAAGAAACGAAAGTCCTGAAATCGGGAAAGGGACTTGATCAGCCCTGATCCCAGCCATAATACATCACACTCGATCAATATGATCGAAAGCCGACAGAGGGAGAGATACCTACGCTTTTATCCTCGTTGGACATTTGTTTCCGCACATAATTGTAGAGTGTGATGGCGACCGAGACAATGAGCCCACTGAGGAGGAACACGAAGAGCATATTCACTCGCCCGAATCTCACGGTAAAAGGCGTAGGCCTGAAAGGGAGACCCCGAGACTGACAGGATGCTCTCCGGTGATTATGAAGGATACATCCTCCGGGGGCATATTCAATAATGACTCTGAGACTCCAGACTTCTGGGTCGTTACCGAACAATGAGGTGATGATTCGGGCAGTGCTTTCCGGCGTGGTGCTCGTTCCACCACTTCGCTCTCAACGCCTGTAAAGCACCTTCTCGCCGGAGACTCAGAACTCCAGCCGATAAGTACCTGAAAAAAGCTGATGGTATCCACATAGCTCCTGTCGAAAGCTAGGTACGTATGTAAGTATATTATACTTCTAGCCTCTTGATATCGAGTTCATTCGCGGGAGCCCGTGTCCGGAATCAGGCGCGTGTCACCGCGCCCTCATCGATGGTTCCCTCGGTTTCGGTGAGTTAGATGAGGGGACTGTGATTCGTCCTAGAATTCCGCGCCCCAAGAGTGGACTCTGTTTTCGTCCCCTGCTCTAATATTATATGTCCTCGATTCATGTGTCTTCTCTTATATCTATTGAATAGCTTTAGCTTTTTCTGCATAGTGACTGCTGACGATTTGGGGGAGACCTCACTTAGTCAATGTGGAGCCCCTTGACATGGCTATCCCATAGCTGACGCTGCCGACGGTGCCTTCAACCTGCAAGGTAGAGTGTTTCCTGCTCACATTCATCGAGAAAATTACTCCCGAAAGCTGCGTGCGAATCCTGTAGGTACAATTTCTTGCTTGGAGCTTGTTGAAGATGGAGAGAGCCATCTTCGACCCTGCGCTTTCCGGACGGTAGGCAGCTGAGCCCCGACAATACATTCTGTTGCTTTTGGAGTCTCTTTCTGAAGTAAATTTTCTGGGGGCCACACTATGAACTCCTCGAGACCCCGGAGTCTGCGACGGCTCTTCACAACTCTCCGAACATGATCATGCTCGGAGTAACATGGAGAATTAATGATTTGCCAGGATTATAAATCGTGCTCGGTTAATCGGAGGGCTGGCGGACTGGCTTCTAATCTCGATATAAGGCTTCTGATCGAGGATTCCCGGGAAGCTCAGAGATCAATGCCGTTGTGGAGCGGACCACATGAGTCCTTGAGCACACGACATCGACCAGTGGATTCACCCTCGACCTGACAGCCAGAACTAGGATGAAGCAGCGCAAGATGCCACACTGAGCGAAGAAATCATGCGGCTGTCGATACGGCATGGAAATGGGAGCGTCCTTCTTGCTGGGAACGCGTCGAGAGGTTCCCAAATATAATGGTCCGGGATCGTGATGAGTTCACCTGAAGCCTCACCTGTTGCAGAGAGCAGTCTCTGCCGACGAAATACTCGATGTACGGCGTCTCGAGAAACAAGGCGAAATCCTCGCTTTTAATGCGCTCCATAGCTTCGCTCAGATTCCGCACCGCGGCTTCCTTGTCCAGTTTTGCGTAGATCTGCTTATAGTTGGGATACTCGGTTTCCTGGTAAGAGCAAATGAACAGCTTCATCATGCGCAACCAAGTCCATGAGAGGGCATCTCGCATGTTCGGTACATTCACAAAGTCTCGTACATCTCAGCCTTGTCGGAGGATACGAAATACGATGGGATTGCCTTCCCTGAGCCACTCGGTCAGACTCATGCAGCCCTCTTGTGGCGAAAACTGCTCTCCGTCGGACGTTCCCCTAATCTTCCGTTCCCTTTTGTTTTCCGAAGTTTCACATGGTCACTCAGGCCCAGGAATGCAAACCCGCCGCCTTGAAGCAATGATCGAGGATTTCCTAAGCCTGACCCGAACAGGTGCGACGCGCTGAGCATCCGCATTAGTACCGAGAGACAGGTTCGAGAATGAGTATCAAGGTATGCGCAAGAGGAGAGGTCGCGACGACATCTGTCGACGAAGGCGACAAGTCCATGCTACTCGGAGCATGACGCCCCCTCGAAAGCCTTGCGGGACCGAATAGCGACAGGCATCATGGGCGGATCTCACTCCGCATTCAGTCCATGCATTTGAACCCAAGAACGCCTTGATTGTGAATCAGCTGGAGTTCGAGGAATCTCGTGATGCTCTTCCACCTCCGTGTGCACAACGACACGCCCGATAAATTTTCATTATCCCAGTGATGCGCGGGGAGGCAATGTCAGCCAAGGCTCGTTCTGGAATTATTATTCGCCCGTATGATTCTTCCTCTAATGATTCATCCCTTATCCATCAGCGAGCATCTCGAACAGAAGAGATGGAGCGTCGCGTCGTCAATCTGCTCATAAGCAGCTACCCGACCAGCCGGCTGGCTCGCCAGTCGGTCAGCCAGGAGTCCTTAGTCCATCGGGGCTCCTCCATCTTCATTAAGGAGCGACTTTTCTCCTTTCTGCCGAACGAGTCGAGCCGGAACGAATCACGGGGCAGGAAGAAAGCCCCCTTCCCCGGGTCCGACTCGTTCCCCGTGAGCCACTTAAGGCTCGTGGTAATCGGTAACACGCCTCGAAAACATTCGCTGGTTGCATTCCTTATCTCCTCGAACTCTTCCTTAATTGTTCTGCCTCTATAATGGAAGCGAGAGTGGCAGCAGCGGTAGCCTCGTCAATATATATGAGGGTGAGTAGGGCTCGACTTTCGTCGCGGCTTTTTAGCCGGAAATTCGCGGCATTTTCAGGCTCCCATAGACTTTCAATGGGGAAACGCCCCGCAACGCGACGAGAACTTGCGGTCACGGTCACGGACTGCGACGAAAGTCGAATCCTAAGCATGAGTCGAAAAATCTAAATAAAGAGGCGTCATTGCCATGCACAGCTGTTTGTCCTCGCCCGCCGCTCATCGCCGCCCGATTCTTTGTCTCTCTCGCAATGGCCCCCGAGGCCTACCTCCCGCGGATTCCTCGGCCGAACCCCCGGCTTATGTGGCCCCAGAGCTGCTCTGAGAGGAGCTTGGGGTCCCGCGGACATCCTGTCGAAGAAGCTTTAGACTCGGAGCAAAAGGGTTCCGTGGAACACGGCTCGGGCGTTCGCCAACGAGCAAAGCAGCAATGCCCCAACCCATGATTGTTCTTTCTCCCTGTACTCCCCATGTTGAAGCAGCACGCGGGGAGCGATACACGTTCCTCCGTCTCCCGGGAGTGTAATGAGTGCCCCCTTCACGATCATCAGGGACCCTCAGATTTTCTTGCTCTCCGGCTTTCTTGACCAAACTGAGAGTCATCACGCATTCGGCTTCCATGAAAACGTTGTCCAAGCGAGAACGAGGACGTCGGAGAATGACGCATCCCCGGCATCGATCCAGTTCGCCCAGCTAGCTGAGAATCTCGCGACGAATCGACTCAGTCGGACTGAATTATCGTTCAATCGGCGAAAGTACCTGATGAACTCGAGGCAAGGAGTAGACCTGGCCAACTCACCTCGAAGAATTTCATCGTAGAACCTGACTGTATGGCACTGAACTTCACTCGATTGCTTTCTGAACGGAGGTCATCTATTCTCGACAGAATCGGCTTCTCATTGTATTTGATGATGAAGTCACCCAGCACGGTACCATAAGAAACCATGACAGCTAGGCAGAAAATGAACCAGGCGAAGAATGCCACGACGACGGCTGGGGAACTGCAAACAATCGAGTTGATACCATGGATGTTTGTTGCACCAACACTGCGAGTTCGGTTTTTTCCTCATCATCGGAGGTTCTAGTCACTCACCTAGGCTTCAATTGAAAACGTTGGAACATGATTGTTGAGTAGAGGTACCAAAAACAATTTCCTATCGTGAAGCTCGTCTCGATAGCGGTCTCCGACACCGATGACCATTCACGGGGCGATAAACGTGCAATGAAAGTGATCACGAACGTAGCTGGAAGTTATATGAGGCTCACAGTGATTAGTCCTCGAAGGAAATCTTCGTCACCAAAACGGACCTCGGCGATTCTATTGTAGCATGCCGCTCCATTTTTCGATCCCCATGGAATGGACAGTCTCCGTGAGACCGGGATGTCCCCAATATGGAGCACGCCCGTGTTTTTCCGAAGAATGGGCGTAATCTAACGATTTCTGCCTTCGACCCCCGATGAATCGGTTTGTATGCCTCTAATATCTTCACTTAATCTTGTAGTTTACATCACCTCTACTCGACTTATTCTACGCTGCCGTTGTTAAAATCAGAGCATATCGATAATTGGAGCATGCCGTTCTATCAGAATAAACACGGTGTGTTCGATTAGCTCTCGTATTACTTGAAGGGTCTCTCTATGAGTATGACCTGTGCAACTCTTATAATCGGGTGTAGCGCGTCAAGTAGCTACATTCTTCGCCGAGAAGCAGGCGAGAATTCAATGCTTAATCAGATCCGAAAGTCACCACTTCATCCGAAGGATTGTCCGTTCCTGGCCGCTTCTCTCTTTACAGACGCTTGAGTGCGCACCGGGAGCACGTTGCACGTATCGAGCGAGACACTCGCGCGATCGGCATGCTCGCCTTGCTCTCGCCAATCGGTATACAAATTGCGACGGCATTGTCTCGTTGATTGAGTCCACCGTTTGCTTCCTCCATAGTGTAATCAACGAGACCTTCATTCCACTTGAGTTAGAGAAAAGGGACATTTTCCATGTTTGAGCGGGAAGCACCGGGCGAACAAGGGCGTGTCCGCTTGGGTAGCGTCTCTATCTATGGGGGAAATGCTCACTAACCCGAACACATGGTACAGAAGAGTGCTGACCACATCCAGAAGGTGAAAGGGCTCAGGAAACTGTGCGACAAAGCATCGACCTCACGTCTCGCGAGTAAGCCGATGCCGGCCTCCAGAAACGGGAAACTGAAGTCGAGCGAAGCGAAACGCTCCCTGTTTATCGTGAAGGGTGCCACAGCGATGTCGGCTTTCTGGAAGACAGTATCGAATGGGAATCATAGAAAATGAACCATGGGCACCGTGGGTGTTGCCAAGGCGCTCTCTCGTGAATGTCTTTTCGGAGCTCTCGTCCGATTGGCGAGCCTTACCCCCAGAAGGATTTCGCCGACGAGACCGCTGTAGCTTCCAGTGGATTCATTGAACGCTCCGTACTTATTATCTTCCACTTCTTTGATGTAGTATTGGAATTTTAGCAGCTTCGACAGCTTCTCTAGGAGATCGACAACGAAACCCGAATATCGCTCATTCCCTTTCAAATGTGGACGATCGTCCCGCATGAGAAATGGAGGAGTCTGGAACCACAATGAGGAGCGAGAGTAGCTTCACATCGATTATAATCATTGATTTCGAATATGATACTATTCAGCGACGTTCGACGACTGCTACCTGAATGCTCGTGACAACGAGCACTCTGTTGTTGAGACCCTCGTCTTGCTCTAGTGCTTCGTCTGGTTCGCCCTTCGGATCCAACTCTTTGATGAAGGTCAGTCCCTCTTGAGGTTTCCAATCTGCAACCTTATAATCGGAGGCTTTGTCGATCTATCTCTCGTTGGCTCGGCTCGATCCGAGATTCGTCTCTCATACCTTCGTCAGTTTCCCGTCTTTCAATAGTTTCACGTGAACGTGTTTCACTTTGCGAACGCCTTTGTCGTCGAACTCAATGAAGCCGGTGACTCCTTGGAATTTGGTCGACTGCAGAAAGATTGGGCCTCCTAGAGTCTCGCGTTCTTATAGCGCCTCATAAGGAGTTATTCACTTTTCACTTCCACGAACGATGACCTGACGTCAGGGGTCCACACAAAGGAAAGCCAGATGCGAATGATTCTTACCTCTCTGATACTGTCGTAGAGCCTCCTTCCATTCTCGAAAACTTTTTCGTTCGAACAACTCCCTTGTGATGCTTGGATGGGTCTGTGTATCAGTGAGAGGTTGTTCAAAGTATGGCCTATTTGGAGAACAGAATCGTAGATGAAGGGAAGGTTCGGTTCGTTTTCGGTCGAGTTCATCTCCAGCCTGAAATATGCATCTCGACTTTAGTATCTCGCGTTCCGTCGAGGTCATCATTGACGTCTGAGACCCGAAGATCCGCCAATCTCTAGAATAAATATCTCACATCCGGTAAATCCAATGCATCTCCCTGTTTTCGGGATCGACGAGGGAAAATGTGTAGACATCAGCGTCCAAGAAGAATGTTTGCTGGGTTGAATTCTCTGGTATTCTGATATCGCTGTTGGGCATGATGAAGCTGTAATACTCCTGAGAAAGCCCCGACATCGAAATCTGTGTCGAGAACAACAGGTTAGGGCATACTGGAGCGTCTCCTCGCTGAGGATAAGTTCTTATCGCATGATCCAACATTTTCGGTGGCCAGCTCACCTCCTTCAGAACTTGATGGACTGATTTGCTCTCAATATCGACGACGACATGTCTAATAGAAAGTTTAACGATGTTGTCCCAAGGATTCGAATCGACAGAGAGGTCGATGGGCATCAATCGCCGTCCTTTGAATTCCGGATCTTCCTCCAATTCGTTCATCCGCAGCAACCCTACGGATGGATCAATTCGCTATGATGCGGAGAGCCTCGACCGCTTTTAACCTGATACCAGCCAGGAAAATGGATTCATACCTGCACTCGTATCGTATATGTAGACTATATGAATCCACCCCATGTGGAGAATCAGCTGTCGCACTACTTCTGCGAGATCCGACGGGGAGGGTGCAAGAGCTAGGGATAGATCATCTGGATCCTCGAGCTCTCTGTTGAAACCAGTCCTTATGTGTGGTATCCTTACCGCGGACGAAACGGACGATATCAATGAATCCTCCACGGAAGACTCCGCGCCGACGATCGCCACCACTCCACTTTCGAACTGCTTGCATACTTTCAAAGGATAGAGACCGAGTCATTCCCCTTGTATTCGAGAATTGGCCGTAAAGATATCGGCATCTGTGGGTCGGATTCCCCGGATAGACAGGCAGATAAAATATAGCAGTGTTTCCCGAAATTCCTCCCCGGTGGCCCACGTTCAGAGTACGGGAGCTGTCCGTGGCCCACCAGCACACACAGAATGTTCGAGGGAGCGGGCAGCTCAGAGAAACAAAATGACGTTGACGAGAAAAAAGGGGTGAAAGCATCAGTCTATCCGCAAATCATAAGCTAGGGTGATCTCCCTGAACAAATTCAGCCTCCGATGCATCTCGCCAAGAGCCCTGAATCGATAGTGCAGAAGACTCCGGAAGTCCCGTGACCCCCTGGAAAATCGCCGTGACCCACTGGTGGGGAACTTGCCCGCTCGTGGGAAACACTGGAGTATAGAATCATCAGTCGATCGGTCTTTCAAGCCTGACTCACGTTCCAAATAATTTCGCCACGTCTCTCCTTCTTTCAACATTATTGAAATCGCTTGCATTTGAACCTCGGGGAACTCCTGATTGTCGGTGTTCACTCGATCCACCGCTCGAGAGAACACCCGAGATTCCACCTGACCAGTTTCGGCACTGAAGACCCCGGCTGGAAAAAGTTCAGATTTCTTGAACCAGGCCAATCGAACTCCTCGCGATATTGCGAGACATGGCCGAGGCTCCGGAAACTATAAAGTTCGCGTTCTCCCATTTCATTGTTGAATTCTCATCGGGGAAGTAAGTGAGCTGGACCGGGAGGGTCTGCCTCGCGATGTCTCGCTGCAGGTCGACTCGTTTTCTGGGGTAGGCCGCCTGACCAGAAGCTCTGACAACTCACCGATCTTGTATGTCCCGCCCTGTACACATGTCGCGCATGATACAAGGATTGAGGTAAGCAAAAGCAATCTCGCAGCGAGATTCGGATTTTCGCTCATGCTCACACAAGCTTCCTGGCACTTAGATTCTATACGGATGTAAACATCAGGCCACACCGAGGGAGGGCCCGACTCTATATTTAGGACTGGTAGCTGAACAGCGAGCAATCGTCCCTAGAGCGGGATAGTCGCGCTGAGATCTTGTACGTATGTGTCCTAGGCCAAAAACCGAGCGCGGCGCCAAGGGAATTTCCGGCCAAGATCAGGAGATCCATTGATAGATAGCGATTCTGGGGGACGCTCCTTGCCAGAGCCCCCGTAGCGGCTCCTAGATTCGGCTCCTGGGGGATGAGTGCTGACTAGAGCTGCGATATGAGAGGACACGTCCTCTCTTGTCCGCTTTGACCGCTTTTTTGGGGTTTCCTCGGGAATGTCCGCTTTCCGGAATTTTCGAGGAAATACCGCTAGATTCGATGATAAAGATTGAATTTCTGCGCTATTTTTTCGCCGAGGGCACCGAGGTCTTGGCTGCACAAGCGTGAGCCAGAGGCGCCGGGGGCTGGGTCGGAAATTTCCTTCTCACTCAGCAAATTGTCTCTGAGCGATCGTTAGGGCATCGAAGTTCAGTCGATTGTTGCTTATAAGGGAAAAATGGTTGGAGAGTCGGATCAATTCCATGGAAAGGGCAAAAAACATGGAATAGAGTGTCCGCTTTTGATGTCCGCTTTCCGTCCCGATGTCCGCGCGGACATCGTCCTTTTTTCGGGGAAGAAATGTCCTCTCGTATCGCAACTCTAGTGCTGACTGAGCGAAATTATTCTCCGAAGAATATATCGTAATGTAGGGCATCTTGCAATACTGTGATATCGTAGGGGGGGATCGTTGTGCGGCATATGAATACGACGCGCCCTCAGTATCGCGGCGCTGAGCAATCTTCCCCGCTCTTATTCCTGTCGGATCCGCGAGAACAGCCCCTATGTCCCCCTCAGAGAGAACATGAATGACGTGGTTCAGAGTCGAAAACCAGACGAGCGCGACATTCGAGTCTCGCTGAGAAAGCCATCAACTACATATGTATTCTCTGTCATCCACCCGCGTTCGTAGTCATACGCTTGCTTGATCCCTCCTCGGAGCTCCGGGCAGTCGTCGAAGAGGGTTCACTGAAAAGGACACCAAGTTTCTTGAAGATTCGAGGGTTGCCTTTCATCGGAAGGCGCTCGTCTTTCGGAGCATACCTGCGCGTGAGAGCGAGTCAAGCGAGGATAAACACGAATGAATCTACGGAACTCAAGTTCTATCTAAATCTGGAAGACCTCTGCAAGATTCGAGCCGCCCAACTTTATTGACAGCGTCTATGAAACAGTTATGACTGTCTTCTGATCTCGTATTTTCTGAGCTTTCTTCTTCCTTCTCTGCAAGTTGTCAAGCGCCGAATGGAAAGCGGACTCAGCATTGCGTTCCTCGACTTCATGCTTGATGAAAGTTAGGGCTTGTACGTTAAGAGCCACATCACTGACGATTTTCTCCATTTGATCCTTGAGAACCTGCAGGGAGAAGTTTTCCGCAGTGAGATGGTTGCATGGCTAGAGCTTCTTGGTTATCCGTATCCCATCTCCCGATTGATTACTCACTTTGTGTGCTTTATTCAATGTACGAACTGCAGCAGGTGTCGCCAATAGCTGTCCAGAATGGATTCTAATCAGGAAGAATAATGTGCGGGACATGAATTCGACATCCCATCCTCGCTCGATCAAGTCGACGAGCAGCCGGAGGAGAGAGAGAACGTGGTCGAAGGGCAAGACAATCAGAGTTTCATCGATTTCGGCTGCCGTTATTCTTTTTATCTCTTCAGTCATATAACGGAAGCGACACTGGGTTTTGTGTACCATCAGGAGAGGGTGAGGAGGAGCTGGTTTGCTGTTTGACACTTTGGCGTCCAATTCTTTCTCCTCCTCCTTCCCGAAAACTTCGATTGCTTCCATCAAACGCTCAGCGCATTTGACTGTCGTCAAGGTTCTTTTGCCGGCAAGACCTATGTCGGCTTCGCCTTCCCTAGTAATCACAGCTTCCTCAGTAACGACATCCTTCTCAGCTTCGAGCTCACGCTCGACTTCGCGCTGCTCCTCGAGAATTAGAGGCTCTTCCGTTTTGTTCCAAATTCTTATACTCTTGTCATGTCCGGCCGTTACCACGTGCTTCCCATTAGGACTAACGGCTAGCGCCCAGACCTCGGCCTGATGACCTTCGAGTGTGACTATCCGTTGAAAGTTATCTGCGTCCCAGTATTTCACCATTCTATCCTTGCCAATCGAGAAGAACTGATGCGACTTAGGTAAGAACTGCACGCCCATCACTGAGTCACTGTGAGCGAAGATCGATTTGTGGCAATCGCCGAAATCCAATCCCCAAATTTTGACATTCCGATCCGACGATCCCGAGATCAGTAATCGAGAATCGTGTGAAATGTCAAGAGACAGCACTGGATATTGATGTCCGTACAAGGAGAGGAAGAACTTCAGCGAGTCCACGAAGAAAATCTTGATCGTATTGTCCGACAACGCAACTGCGAGCAAGGCACCGTCAGGTGAAACTTTGACGCAGGTAACTGCTTCAGGCAATTCCAGACACCTGAAATGTGGCTTTTGATCAGACATCGGAGGATTCTTCGAGGACTCAGCAAATCTTATCAAGGCCCTGAGCTAGAACACCCACCTCGATAGCTTTAGGGTGAATTTCTTGGTCGCCCCATCAATCTCCACGGACCAGAATTTCACTTTCTTATCGCTGCCGCCCGTGATGAGGAACTTTTTACCGGGGGTGAAGCTGAGGGACCATGTCGAGCCTTCGTGCGCGGCTATGGTTTCCGTAAGCTCACCGGCCGCCAGATCGAACATTTGCAGGTTTCCCTGTTTTGTGCCGAGAACACAGTGCCGATCGCCGAGTAAGAAACCGGAGCAGAGCGCATATTCGCAATCGAGAGTACGTATGCACTGCAGGGACTCCGCGCTCCACAGCTTCAACTGCTCTGCTGACGCTGAGAGTATTCCTATGGGGTGGGAGAGTGTTGACCTATGGCTTCGCTACAGCTTATTCGATCCATCGATCTATGCCAATCGAGGGATGTTTGTCGAACTACCTGCGTTGTCAGATGTGAAGCAGACGGAGCGGACGTCACTCCTATGTCCCAGATGCCTGAGGGTGTCCCTCAACTGCGGCTCGCCCTCATCATCTAAGGAGACATCGATGAGATCGATGGCATTGTTCCTAAGCGCCACAAGAATGAGCCAGTTTGTGCCCTTGACGCATGAGGAGAGACTCGCTATTTTTCCTTTGCATTTCACAACACCTGAGGGAGCCACCCCGAGAGACTTGGTTAAGTTCGGCCGAGAGTACGTCTGATGACCCGAAACCTGGGAGCCACTTACCGAATCTTTTGAAGAGATCGCTCACGGTGACGCCTGAGTTTACAACGAGGTCGTCATCTTCGGCTTTGCGCTTGATTTCTCTCTTCAAACGTTTCGAGTGCTTTTTGCGGACTTCGCTCTCCGTCAGAATTTTGAATATCTCGATCTGGTTGTCCTGACCATAGCAACCGAACATAGCGTTGCCCTCCTCGTGGTGCAGCCCACATGTTCTGCCTGGGAGAGACAAACTGTAGTTCGAGAGCGATCTCATGCGCTTCCCTTTCTGCTCTCGGAGGTGATTCCGATATGAAATCGGGTTCTTGTGCGAGACTACACATCACTCTTCCAAGCAGAAATTCTTCCGCCGGAGGAACATACCTTTACCCTGCCGGAGAATGGTTCCGACCTTTCGGCACCTGAACTCAGCAGCCGTACTCGAGACACCGGATCCATCGCCATCATCCTCCGATTGATCGTGCAAATCTTCACGTATTCGCTTGGAAACCTCCCCGTCCGAGCGCTCAGACTCGGTCCGAACCACGCCACTCAAATCCCAAACGGATAGTTCCGGGGCTGATGTACCCGTTATCTGAAAGAGCGCACGGCCACGTCACTCACACAGGCAGACCCCAGCATAGGACCGGATAGGCACATCATGATGGAGGCCGACCGAGTGCATAGGATCGGGGGCGCTAGAGATGACTCACGAGGTATTGATTGTTGATGATGAGGAAATCCCACACTTCACTCCGGTGGCCAACCAGCGTGTAGAAGCAGTGTTGAGTATCCAGGTCCCAAAACTTCACGAATGTATCCTTGGACGACGATACGAGGATGTTCCGAGACAGAAATTTCACCTATGAGGACCACAGGATTGATACCGAACTCCTGCTGGGCATGTCGATATCTAGGAGTCTGCTCCGATTCACACTGCGGGGCTCGTCTACCAATGAACTCGTAGGCTTGATTGAAAGATACCAGCCGCGCCAACGCCGACACCCAGAATCTCTCCGCCAGGCGAAATCATCGCACTCGCGGTAGAATCGGATTGGCTCCCGCTAATACGAACGATTCACAACAGGAAAAGCAGCCGCACACACCTGAGTGATGGGCCCTTTGTGCCCTCTGAGGCGGTATAATCCACACTCATTGATGATGTCCCATGTGATGATTACTCCATCCTTGCCGGCAGTCAGCAGCTTACTGCCTGGAGAAATGAAGCCCGGCGTTCGACGATACCCAATGCTCGATTCTATCATATCAGAGTCCTCATAATTCTTGTTATTATTATATTTCATGCTGGAAATGGAGCTGGAGGAGCTCACCGGACGAGTCGATCCCCATACAAGTAACGGCTGCCTTGTGACCTTGGAGCGTGACCCTGAGCGAGCCATCCTCGAAGCAGAAGATCTTCACAACGCCGTCACTGTAGCCCACGGCAATCAGGCCTCCACAGAGCACTTGCACGCGAGTCGCCTCACTCTTCTCACCTGTCGAAATACGAATTGTTATCGCCACGGTAGGTGCGCGAACTCATTCTTCAAGGAATGACTCATCTTCGGATTGGGAATATTGCGAAGCAGCAAGGATGACAAACCTCTGCATACGGAGAGCTTCTTTTTCGTTTTCAAGTTCCACAATGTTACGTCCTCGCAAGACGTGCTCGCGACATAACGATCTTGAACTTCATTGACGGGGACGAGTACAGCTTGACCCTCTGAATTCGAAATGGCGCCAAAAGAGTCCCCCGCGAAAAAACGAAGATACTGAGTCGTTACACCCATAGCTGATATGCGATTGTAACCCCTGAAAATGATCGGCACTTCTGTCAAATAGCCATCTAGATCCGGAGTCGGGCATCGGTCGAGGTGAGACATGAAGTGCCCAAATAAGGCTACGGCGCGCCTTAGGCCAAGGAAGAACTCCGCGATCCGAACGCTCTCTTAACCCCTCGTGTCGCCCCCCCCCCCTCGTCGGCTCTGAGTCTGGAATGCGCGCACTGCGGAACGAGAACCGTACACAAGCAAGGAACTCACCACCGTCTATGGAGATTGACGATCGGATCACGCCGGCACTCTTAATAACCGAGAATCTGGGAGGTAGATGGGGAGCGGATAGGGCGACGAGTTTTCCGGGAACGAGCACTCCCTGAAGCGTCCACCACCAATCGTCGTTCTAAATCATGGGGGTTCCTTCCTCGCACGTGTTGTTTTTGTGAGTGTTGACTCTGTGTGCGTCGTCAGTCGTCACGTTGCGCTCCCTCTCATTTACCGCGCACCACACCATAGCAGACGATGAGCATGTGTCTGACAGTGAGCGTGATTTGGACCTGGTATTAGAGAGCACGACAATTCGACCATCGGAGACTGGAGGAGGAAATCGCTCGAACGGGAGCCGCCCATCTCCTTCAATACTCGCTCGTGTATTGTCACATCGGGATTGTCGCACCGAACCGGCGCGGCGCCTCGGGAACTACTGAGCGACCGTAGTGGTCTCTCTCCCGAGACCCCTAAAGACATCCACGCGCACGATGTAAACAGACTTCTCTCACGGATGGGAAAAAACATTCTCCTGGCAGAAGGTAGAAAGCAGTGACCGGTTGTCGCGATCCGGCACCGTGAAATGTTCCTCTGAGAATCCCAACTTCGCACACTTCCGCCGAGATGTCTCACAGGATTCTACTTTTCGCGCGAACTATCGAGAACCAGCTCGTCCATGCCTTCCGGACAAGGTCGAAAGGACCTCTGCCTTGCTCTGCTTCGCGCAGTTTCGATAATGCAACGAACGCAGCACATTACCCCTTGAAAAGTAATGAAATCCGTCAGTGGTCAGCGGCAGTCGACGATCTGCTCAGGCATCCTCATGCCTCGTTCTGTTCGGATAAAGGTGGTAAGAGGGGGCCTGATTCGGATGATGCAAGCGCCTCTCAACCGAATAATCAGAAGTCTCGGAACCAACCACCGTGGCCCTTCGGCGATGGAGGCACTGGAGGTTCAGACAAGAAAAACCCGTTCCAAGGCAGTCCCGATGATTTCAACCGGAAGATACAGCAAGTAACCGTGTTCATTGTTTTCGCATTGATGGCCTATGGTTTCCACGAAATGAGGTACAAAGAGATTACTTGGAAGCAATTCGTACAAGAGTACCTCTCACGGGGCGTAGTCGAGAAGCTTGAGGTGGTGAATTCGAAATGGGTTCGAGTCACTCTCAGTGGCCAAGATTCGGGCAACATTCTGTGGTTCAATATTGGCTCTGTGGACTCTCTGGAGCGTAATCTCGACAATGTCCAAGCAGAAATGAACATAGATTCCATCAACTATGTCCCAGTTGTCTATAAGAGCGAGCTAGACTCGTCAGGACTCCTGAACATGTTGCCGACAGCCTTGCTCATTCTCGTCCCACTATACTTCTTCATGAAAGCTCCGGGTTTCAAAGGTATGATGGGCGGGGGAAAGGGGGAATCTTCGGCGTTGGTCAGAGCACTGCGAAGTTGATCAAACCAAGCGATATCGGTGTCAAGTTCCGGGACGTCGCGGGCTGCGAGGAGGCCAAGGTTGAGATTATGGAGTTCGTGAATTTCTTGAAGAATCCGCAGCAGTATATCGATCTGGGTGCCAAGATCCCGAAGGGCGCGATGCTCACCGGCCCCCCTGGCACTGGAAAGACGCTCCTAGCAAAAGCGACCGCGGGGGAAGCCAATGTACCGTTCCTGAGTGTTTCGGGATCCGAATTCCTCGAAATGTTCGTGGGCGTGGGCCCATCGAGGGTCAGAGATATGTTCACGAAAGCGAGGAAACACGCACCGTGTATTTTATTCATCGACGAAATCGACGCCGTAGGGAGGAAACGAGGCGGGAAGAACTTCAGCGGACACTCAGAACAGGAAAACACATTGAATCAACTACTCGTTGAGATGGATGGTTTCAATACTACCACGAACGTGGTAGTTCTCGCAGCGACCAATCGGATCGACATCCTCGACAAAGCGCTCTTGCGTCCAGGTCGCTTCGACAGGCAGATATTCGTCGGGGCGCCAGATATCAAAGGCAGGGCCAGCATTTTCAAGGTGCACCTCAAAAATTTGAAGACTTTGCTGAACAAGGACGATCTATCGAGGAAGATGGCTGCTCTGACTCCAGGGTTCACTGGAGCTGACATTGCGAACGTCTGCAACGAGGCCGCCCTGATCGCCGCACGAGAGCTCAGCAACAGCATTGAGTTGAAGCATTTCGAACAGGCGATCGAAAGGGTTGTGGCTGGCATGGAAAAGAAAACCAATGTTCTCCAGCCTGAGGAAAAGAAAACTGTGGCTTACCACGAGGCTGGGCATGCAGTGGCTGGTTGGTTCCTCGAGCACGCTGATCCTTTATTGAAGGTTTCAATTATCCCGCGGGGCAAGGGCCTCGGTTACGCGCAGTACTTGCCGAAGGAGCAGTACCTCTATACAACGGAACAACTGTTCGACCGCATGTGCATGACTCTGGGAGGTCGAGTCAGCGAGCAAATATTTTTCAAGAAAATCACCACCGGAGCTCAGGACGATCTTCAGAAGGTTCGTGGTGTTCCTCTCGAGCGAAATCAGCGATCTGGCTAAATCACATGGGATTCCGAACGATTACCCTTTTTTTGTCAGGTGACTCGGAGCGCATATGCGCAGATTGTTCAATTCGGCATGAATGATAAGATTGGGAACCTGTCCTTCGAAATGCCGCAGCCCGGAGACATGGTCATGGAGAAGCCTTACTCGGAGGAAACTGCGCAGATGATTGATTCAGAAGTGCGATCTCTTGTCGATAGAGCCTACGATACCACGATGAAGCTGCTCACAGATCATAGATCCGACGTTGAAAAAGTAAATTTCGGAATCTACCATGTTCTCAATGATAGTATATGAAAGGGTGTCCAATGGAGGGGCTTAATCGTCTACTTCATTGTGGCCTAATGATGTTTTCTCCCGAATTTCCATAGGTTGCCGTGCGATTATTGTCGAAAGAGATCCTGAATCGTGAAGACATGATAGAGTTGCTGGGGAAGCGGCCCTTCCCGGAAAAGTCCACATATGAAGAATTCGTACAAGGCACAGGATCGTTTGAGGAGGACGTCACATTACCCAAAGGCTTAGAGTCGTGGAATAAAGCGAAGGAAGAGCGGACATCGGAGGGGGAAAAATCCACGACAGCAAGCACAGAGGGAGCGGGCGAGAAGAAAAAATCCGAGTGAAATATATCCCGATAAGCTCCTCTGCTGTCTCCGAACAGACTCGACTTCGCGTCAATCAATAAACTGTATGTAATATAGACTACTTCGATCGCCATTCCTCCGTTGCGGGCTAATTGGTCCGGAAGTAAGGTGGAATTCCGACCGCCTCAAGTATCATTCGATCTGCGAATAAGATCATCCGTCAACGCTGGAATATAGCCTAGGAGCGAGAATTGGATGTGTGATGGCGAAGGCTCATCGAACATATTGACTCGAAATCTATTGATGAGGATAGCAGAGATTCGAACTCATCCTCTTCCCTGACTTCCAATACAAATGCTTCCTAATAGTTCCGGGAAACATGACCCCCACACCCGCAGGAATACCTTCCTCTGCACCAGGAACAATCAAAATTCATTTTATTATTTTACATAACATTTCTTCCCCACAGCGGCTTTGTGCTCAAGTTTTCAGAAGGCCGTGGGCATGATAAGCAGGAATTGTACACATGAAGAGCCTCTGCTCAAGGGATTCGGAGGGGGAATCGTCAGCTCGGGGCGTTCTTTCAAGGCTTCTTGTCTTTGACCGTGTAGCGGTCGTAACACTTCGTCGGATCGTACGGCTCCCATCGAGATGCAGGAAAAATGTGTTTGTTCCTCTCGTACCAGCTTCTAAGCAGAACTTTCCCCGCATGGCTCTCCTCCTTCTCTTTCGATGCATCTGATGTCATGCGGACGTCTTCATGAGCGTCGAATGAGAATAACGGACCGGATTTCCCTCGGGCCTGGAGCGATCAGGAAATTTGAACTCGCTTCATAGTCAGTTCTACATCGGCTTCCGACAGAGGCTCGGGCCCCTCATCCGCGAGCCTCACAGAAAATGCGCTCATATTATAGGATCGTTAATATCTGGCGTCACTAATCGGGACAATCGACCGGATAAGCGCGTCCGCTGCGGAGAAGTTATTGGAAGGACGTTTGCTCACTTTTGTTACGATGAAGTCGTAGAATGTGTAGTGATGTTGTATGATCAGGTCTTCTTTGACATACATCAGTTGATCCGCGGAAACTACCCGTAGTTCATGGAAATCTTTCCGGAGTGTTTCAAGACATCGTTGCAAAAACTGGTAAATCGAGTTGCCTTTCTTCATTTCGACCACTCGTCGGTGCCCCGAACCGTCCCAATAGCTGAATGTTATCTAGAAAAGGATCGGCTCCTGAATTCCCGTTGTGGGAGAGACGTGGTATAGCCCCGCTGTCAGACGCAAACCTTCCCGGAGTCATTCACTCTCAATATTCGCGACCGTTGCAATGATTTCGAGCAGGAGGGGACAGATGATAAGGGAAATTCTCACCTGGATTGCTTCCTCCTTCAGCTTGCGCTGCTTATCGGTCCATTCCTGTCGCAATTCTTCGCGTATTCGACGTTCTTCCTCCTCCCTCTCTCGATCTGGGAGAAACGACGTGTCGACGTCAGGATTTTTTTTCATTTTCCTTTCGTGGGGTGAAGCGGTCTTCTCGCCGCAGTCGACCGCTTCGGTCTCGGCTGTATCCGAATCGCTGCCGTTATCGTCTTGGCTTTCCCCGTCGAGGTCATCCATGCTGAATGACAGAGCTTGAATCTGGAAATCAAAGGAAGTTCAGTGCGAGACTGCGATCGAGGGAGCTTCTTGTCCAGAAATTCCCGGCACAATCGCAATGTGCCGTGAGTTCTCGGAAGCTCGGACTGCGATATATGGCCCGCCTTCGGAGACAACTCGTATGAAGCTGCTCATTTCGAGCGCTCCCTTGAACGAAGGGAGCAATCGAAACGCAGGCGCGAGCTCAAGAAACCTCCGATCCTCTTGGGGAAACGCCGTGGATTAAAGCTCTGCGATTCGACAGAAACTCTGTGAGCCTCAGAGATGTTCGAGCCGATCAGCTCTGAAACATCTGGAGGACTTCTATCCATTACTTCTCCCCACGAAAGACTACGGACTTAGCTTCACCGAGACAGCAAAATTCACGGCTTTCACCTCGGTGCGATAGTGCCGCAATCACAGCCAAGGACATGAGAGAACAATATGTATCTGGTGGTTAAAAAACTTATCATATGTCACGTCCAGGCCCGACGAGAGGGGGGGGGCACCTGGACTCTTTTCCCCGGCCCAGAGTCTCTTGAGGGGCCCCTAGCTCAGGCTTTAGTCTAATGATTTGCTCTGCGTCCCAAATTTCCCCCCTTTTCAAAAGATGCATGGAAAGGAAACTGCTGATCTGACCCATTCGTTCCATCACTTTTCTAGTGGCAGATCACAGACCGTGATCGAGAGGGGCCCATGTCCGAATTTCCCCGGGCCCAGAATTCCTCTCTGCGGCCCTGGTAACGTCGCACCACGAATTTGATTGTGTACGGCGTGACAATTGACAATACAGCTAAATATGCGCTACCATAGGTGAATTTCGTCGCTTACGACGTAGGGGGCTGCCTTTTGTCTCCACCCGGGACACGGCGTGCGCGGATGCCCCAGAACGAGATCCGACCTCTGTATAATCGGACTCTCCCCACAGACGGCTAGCCGCCTTTGCACCCCCTTAACCGATGCTCCAATGAGTTCGGTGGAAAATAAACAAACACATCCGCTGCGATCAATCATACTCACGGCCTTCTTCTGCTTCTCTTTTTGGGCCCTCTTCCTTTTCTCGTGCTTCTGCTTTTCTTCCTGTTTCTCGAGCTCCTTCTGTGCTAGTCTCTTCTCCCTTTCCTTCACCGCATTTTCTTGTTTCGCCTATGAATTAAATTAACATAGTGGAGCGTGTCTGCATGGACTCGATCTAGCGTTCGGACAAGGAGTCGAAAAGCCTCAGAAAAGCCTAATCCATGCTGAGTTCCCTCACCTTCATCTCATCCAGCGTGACTAAGCCCACCGTCGCGCTCTTTATTTGCGCCTCCACCGCATCGAAATGAGATGAAAACTTGTCGTCCATAGTGACTTTCATCTCTTGTTCGATTTTCGCTTTTTTCAGCTCTACCTCTTCGCGCTGACGTTCACGCCGCTTAAGAATTTGCATGGCGCGCCCGGCCTCACTGGCAGCACCTTTATACTGAGCCATTTCGATTCGCGATGTCGATCTTCAGGGGAGAAACTTATCTCTCGTCCCTTACTCGGCTCCACTCACTTTTGATTATATTCCTCTGGAACAGGAATCGCGTATTCGGGGATCCCGGAGGTCGGTGTGAATAAGTTATGTAGAGATCCTGTGGGGGAATATATAGATGTAGCGGGCCAGAAGTTCGACCAGCCCGATTGCGTCAGGATTCTTGCTATAATGAGGGAAACTATGCCATGAAAAACGGAGAGACATTCTTCGCCTAGCCAAGACACCGACAAGTCCTCTCGGAACGACATCGCGATGGGCCACGGGCACAGTCGAAGACTTTTGAGGGGGTCCGGCGGCAAAAAAGAATCCCGAACGGCCGCTCTAGAATGCTAGAAGATGAATACCATTGGGCTTCGCGGTCCACATGACCCTCGTTGCTCACACTAACCTACCCGCAATCGACCGAAGTCTCAAGGTCTATGAAGGAATCCAGTGCAATTCGGAAGTCACTTCAAACCAAGCCAAGTAACTCAAAACGATGTAGCTCCCAGCATAGTCCACTCGGGATGTTGATTATTCAATTCTCCAAATATCAACCGACTCCGCCCAAGTCTGCTGATAGCTCCCTCTTCCCTCTCATCCCATCACACTGACGAGCACACTCGAATTCGTTCCCCCGAACGCGTGACGTCAAGGAAGTGCTTCGATGGGGTCCGGTAGGAGGCTGGAGAGTGTATGGATAATATTATTCACCGATCTGAAAGGTTGCAGACGAATGCTCAAGGCTGATGATGGTGATCTCTGCTCGAAAAGGCAAATTGTCTCCGCCGCAATGTAGAGGGTAGAGGGCAGACCACCTCGATGATAGTTCCCCGACTCCCCCTAGGCGAGCTTCTCGGGAAATCCATGGAAACTCGATCCGAGCCTCTTCGTGTCTTCGCCCGGTCCCTTCACAGCCCATTCAGAATATTGTTATGATGATTCAATCACGATTCTTGATATTGGGCGGTCTGCATCCTCGTGCCTTACATTGTCTTTTTGCCATTCCTTCCCCCGTTCTGGTTCCCGCTCCTTTGCCGCTCATTTCCTTTTTCCTGTCCCTTGCTCTGTCCATTCTGCGTTCCTTCCCTAGTTCCGAGTCCCGCTCCTCTGCCGCTCATTTTGCGATCCTCTTACAGTTCCCCTTCCCGCTTCTCTTTTTTTTTGTCCTACCTCCTGTTCCCGTTCATTTTCATTACTCCGACCCAATCCACTAGCCATTCCTTCGAAGGAATCGGTATAATGACTGTTTTCCGTTCTCGCAAGTGAAACGACCATGTTCATTCAGAGGGCGGCCTTTAAGCATCGTCGCACATTCTGAGGTCTCCGCTGCTTCTCGTAGATCGTAGAGAGGCCCGTATGTTGCTGTCCTCAATGTGGGGTTGACATCGCGCGAGTTAGGGAGTAATCGGTCCATCGGTTCGAGTTCAAATCGAGGAGAAACAGTGCCAAAAACATTCTGCTTCAATACTAGATCGGCTCGGCGGATTTCCGATATCATCACAACCTCTGTCAGACTCGGTGGATCCTTGCGGTCCAAGACCGAAGCTCCGACATGTTGTGACGGCTTCCGCAGACAAAGCGGTTTTGGTCATCGAAGAGGCCGCAGAAAGCGACTAAACGACACTTAATTAGCTATTACTTACGATTAGTCTACTCCACCAAAACACCATCGAGAGTCGAGACTGACTCAAACGCCGCGCGACTCTCCAGCAAGATCAACAGATTCCGTCTGCCGAACTTATAAACAAACACAGCACGGCATCCGTGTTATCCAACGAACGCGGGACGCGAGGGCTGCGCGAATCGGACGGTGATGGCTTCGTGGTCGCTGACGCAGCGAGGCCTTTCGCGAGGACTGCGCTTATCGGCATCTATGCATGCCAGCTATGGGCGGAGGATGACTTCCTCTTTGCCTGAACACTTGAGGAAGGCTCTGGCTTACTCTGCAATGTATCCAGATCTGCTGCCGGAACCCGATCTTACGAGACGGAACTACGTGCGCGAGATGCTCGAACGTCAAGATATGCTCTCGAGGTGAAGGACATACTACACTTCATGTTCCTCGGTTCCTTATACAGATTCCCCCATCTGGAAAGTCCGTCATGTCCAAATCTGTGGACGGGGAAGCTTTCCTCCTCTGCTAGAATTCCGCGCGGAGAATTATCCTCGCTCATGCGCCCCGGATCTCTTGAGTGCGCGTTCCTGGGAATTTCATATGAGTCATTGAATTCGTTGCAGGCGGCGTGCCATAGATATACCCGAATTCTACGTTGGATCCTACATGTCGATTACCGTGTCAGATCAGAATGCGCCCGGGAAGAAGAACACCTTCGTTGGAATCTGTATATACAGGTAGGAAAGAGAGATAGTGATGCGCGATCGGTGAAGCTTCGATGAGGGCCCCGGCTAGGTACCCTGGGATTCGATTCTCTGAGGACCTTCAAGCCTCAGAACCAAGGAGCCACTCAAGTGTACCGAAATCCCAAGCTCGTTGGCAGTTCAGCGTGCATTTCCAGTGAGATAGAACCCTGATTAGAACATTCCATGGGTTCGGATTCAGGTGTCAGAGGGGACATGAGTCTCCGAGCGCAAGATTATAGAGGACGCAGAATCGAGACGTCGAGGCGATTATTCGATTCGGACTTCTGCCGCCGCTGAAGCAGGAACAGCGGCATTTCAATTTGTTATACGTTTTACATCGTTATCACCATCCAGATGGGGCGAACCGAATGTGGGGAAATTATCGGAAGTGCGAGTGTTGTTTGAAGTAGAAAGATGATGGAGCGAGCAGCGGGCGCATCCCCGTCACTTGCCATCCGAGCTGGATCCGCCGCTAGCGCTAGTCTCAAGCGACGGAAGGTTTCTCAGTCTGCGGCTCGTTGATAATCTAGTGGCTGCCCCAGAGACGGCTTGGAGTGTCTTCAGTCAAAATTAAAGTCGGTCTAGGCATCTCTCCGGAAGCGTATACGTATTCCCCGGCGATCTGCATGATTTTCCTTGCTCCTTCGCGGTATTCGCTAGCGGCAGGGAGATTCTCCATCTCTAGCCTCTATCGAACGGCTGAGAGAAGAAAGTATTCTTGCTCGAATATCCTGAAATGGATGTTCGAGGAAGGCCGGATTCGACATTCTCTCTCATGAGCAGATGAGTCGAAGTTCCGCTTCGACTTTTCAGAAGGAACCATGGTCTGCGGCATCAGATGGCCTTGAGAAACATCGTTGAAAATGAGGGGATCGAAATGCTCTACGATTTATACTCGCCGATCATTCTGGAAATTAAGGTCCTGCGACTCCAGAAACGGCTCGATGACGATCTCCGGTACCTTCGGTGAGTGAAGTTGTCAGTAGCGCATAAGGAAATGCTCCACGTCGGGTCTGTCTCATCCCTTCGGACCTGAGATATTTTTGGAAATGTTCTCCTCCCCCAGCGATGCTCTGCCAGAATATTCCACGGTACCTTGGGACATGGAACCAGAACCACATCGAGAGCAGGGCTCAGTACCGGTCGATGAGACCAGAGTCATCATGAAACCTAGGCCGTGGACTCAAAGATGGGAGAGGAAAGAACTTAAAGGTGAGAGATTGAGTCGGATTCCCGGGAGAACTCCCGAAGATTTCTCGAAGCATAATACTTCGCCAAGCTACTAATATTCTAGCCTCACGATCGACACGAACCTCCCCAGGCGTGAAAGAATGGGGACTTGAAGACCGATTCTTCAAGAGAGCGGTGGAAGTTTCGAAACCCTGGGAAAAATATGACTTGATGAAGGAGTATCGCTGCATGGTTCCTCTGGAGGATCAGTACGTCGTTTGGAAAGAAGTTGAAGAGCACAGGAAAACGATCGAAGAAGAACACAAACGAAGCCGCCGAAGGAAACTCTTGGACGCGTAGCGCGGCACGGCACCGGTCTTGCTGACATGGGTCATAGTCTTCGAATAAACACCGATCGAATCAAATGAGACATCAAGGACATGCAGCATGTGGGAATACTCAAGCCGAAACTTTCGCGGAAATTTTCGTCTCCCGGGGTTAGGAAACACGGATGCTGAGCCCTTCCCGCGTACTACGTGGAGATAAAGCCTCTTGCGTCGTGCCCCCCGTCTCGTTGAGGGACATCCGAACAGAAGCAAACCAGAGCACTTACCTTTGAAGCGTGGAAGCCGAATTTCATCTACAGAGGGTCCACAATCAGAATTTTCGGGGGTGCCACGTAGGGTTCCGAGTCATGGGATGACTGCCCGCATACTCATGACGCTTTGAAAATTGATTCTAAATTAAATTATTCTACCTCAGCGGGAAATCGGGTGGAAGGAGTCCAGCCTTTTCGCTGTGTGCTCCGTAGTGGAAATCGACCATGCTAACGAATATTTGGAGGATGGACTCGCAGATGGAAGCTGCGCATTTCGGCTTCAAAGTCGATCACGCTCCATATCTCTCATCACGAATCATGATCCTCGCTCTCACACCTTCTAGGGCGATAGAATCCCTGCACTCGACCAAGTTGAAGATCTCGGAGTCATTCCCCTTCTGATCTCTGTCCTGATACTCACATCCACATGGCCATCGCACGCGCAGGCAAAGTGGCGAAATTCGGGCTCCGGGCTTTCTCCGCCGAACTGCCGGTAGTTTATCTGCGGCTCATTGTTTTCTGGAGTTGCCTTGTCTCCTGTACGGCTGCGAGGCCTGGTGACCCTAGCTCAAGCGCCCTGTCCATGCGTTGTCATTCACCACCGAAATGCAGGGTGATGCCGGCGGGAAGGGGCTGCATACTCGGAGGCAGAGAGGAGAGTGTCCATGATTGGGAGGTCGAAATCGGAGAGGGGAAATCTCGCTTCCTACCGCGCGATCACCGTCGACCGTCGTACACCATTCGTTCAACGAGTCCCTCTTTCACAAGAAAATAGATTTAACTGAGGTAAGCGGTATCCAGGGGTGAATGCTGAATGGGCTCAGACTGGATGACCGCCGTGAAGATTGCCTGTTTATGCTGACGGCGGCGATACAGCACGCACAAGAGTCTAGAGTCTTGTTACACGCACAATGAAAACAGTCGACATCACAGACCGGTTACTGGGTAGCTTCCTTCTGTATGCATTCCTGTAGTTTCTCGCGGTGCGGAACGCAGGGAGCAGTTAGTCCCTGACTCGATCGTGCCTCAACGCGTAGGTCGTTTTTTCCGGCCGCTGCCAGAGGCACGATCAAGAGGTTCCCTCTGCCGGAGAGATCCCGCGACGTTACCTGGCTGACGTCATTGAGGCTTCCATCCATGGAAGCTCCCAGCATCAGTGATCCGGATCTTCACTTACACGGGTATTGTATTTCATATCGTGCCCGGAAATCATTTACATATCAATATGGGAGTATCACTTCTCGATGACTACGCTCTGAGAATTTTGGCTTCGACACTCTCTCTGGCTGACGTAATCAGTCGCCGACGCCGCAACGTCAGACACGAGGGAAGCGCGAAGCGCCGGCTCGCAACCTCCACAGGAACTGTCCAATCCGGTCTGGGCCTCTGAGGAGTATAATAGGGCTGCACGCGACACTCCTATCTGCTTTCATCGATGCCATCCAGGCCCGCAGATTAATCATGAAAGAGCAGCTCGAGTTAATTCCAGAGCGGCTCGGCCTGTCTGGAGAGTTTACAAAAATCATCAGGGAAGTAACTTCTTTGATACGCGGCTGAAGAGTTTTTCAGCATCCCATAGCTACTCCACGCCGTCGACCGAGGTGGTCCTCCCGGGATGGAGAGTCAAAAGAATGGAAGAGTTTTTTCGGCTTACCGTCCGACCCTGGTTTGGACGGAAATCTTTATCCGCAATCGACTCGTTGTCCCGAGAGCTCGCTGTCGAAGAAGTCGACTAGAGATCGGATGACGGATCACCTCCAAGCTCAAAAGTTGGAGTTCGGGACTGAATCTCTCGTTCACGCGACTCGCGCATTCAAGCTTCTCATTTGATCTGCTGTGAAGGTCGTCTCCAAGGAAGCCTTCAACTCCTATTAGCCGACTACCTGCTACCCCGGAGACACCACTCCCGAGTTATGTACAACCTCTTCCAACCTTGGTCGACTTCCAAAAAATCTCCTGGTCACCCGCGACAGCCAACGAAAGCTCGTGCATCGCGCATTCAGAGTCTCTCGCGCTAGGGGCTCAGTCTTGACCAAAAGTCCTCCATGCATGGATAGACTTTATGTCTGTGTGCCCTTCATGCGTTGTCGAGTTATGTCGAGGGACCACTATGACATTCAGCATAATTATTCGCATCAGAACTGTTATTGTCTCTGGGTGGACAAACCTCCTCGAGCCTATGGCATTTTTCCGTGAGTCCCTCCTTCCTCCGTTCCGCTAGATGAAACGTCGTCTTTGATCGCTCTCAGCAACGGGAGCTGCTGTGAGCGCTCTCCTAAATTCGGGAATGGCTCCTGTGAACGCAAATGTGAGATAAGAAGAAGTACGGGGATACGGCCGGCAGCAGGTAACAACGATAATAAGAGGGAGGTGAAGAAGAGAGTAGGAAGTACCTTTGTGGAGACTGAAAGAGATGAGGGGAATGATATGAAGGAGGGACATGAGGAGTTCCGAGCGCAGGAGATAAAGGTCAAAATTAGGAGCTACACGAGGGACAGAAGAGGGGCTGGAAAGACAAAGGGGCGAGGGTATGATCGAAATGGCAAACGAATAGAGATTCAAGTGAAGAGAGAGGAACAGGTAGCGGAATATAGGTATTGAATTATCGAGGGGAACAAGGCAGCGGGGAAAAATGAATGAGGCAAAATCGGAAGGTAAGGGAAACGAAAATAGACGCTAAAGCGAGGAGAATTGAAAGATGGGAGAGACATAGGAAATGAGAGGACTGATTAACATGACGGGATACGAAAGCAGAAGAGGAACGGGGGATGAATATGGGCAACGAGGAAGGAAGAGGGATACAGAGCCCAAGGGAAAGAGGGAAATAATGGTAAGGGGGGGGGAACAGATCAGAGAATGAAGGGAATCGCGAATGGTGGAACGATGGGGAAATACGAAAGATCAGGGGAAGAAGAGGGACGGTAGAAGGACAGCATCAGCGTGAGGGATTAGATACGGAGACAGATGCGAAGGAGGAGAGGGTGTGACCTAATAGTATCAAGAAGGTGGGGATAGGAACAGACAACAGACTGAAGAGCTGAGCTTCTTTATTCCTCCTTTATAGATTGCCTACAATAATTATCGGAAAAATCAGTCCCCAAAGGAGTATGTCTCAATCTTTATAACGTGCTATCGTGGTAATAGCGGAAGGAAGCTGGTCCACATCCCAAAGAGACCTCCTCCAGGGAGAGGAGCTATCGATCGAAAGCTCTCGAAATCATTCCGGCGGGTCACAGTCTAATCCGGAGAACCTCTCCGGATAGACAAGGGAGAAGATGGAGAGAATGAACTGGGCAGCTCAACGCCGGGAAAGCTCAACGGCGAGGCGACTAGTCACCGGGAAAGCTCACGCCGGGACAATTCAAAGCCGATCAAGTCGACACCGAGACCTAGCTTGCTACGGATTTCCATTGCGCAAATACGATGCGTTCAGATAATAATCGTAATGTGCTCCGATCACCCTTCCTCATCAGTACTTCCAATGAAAAATGCTCTTCCTGATTGCAAAATCTGAACCAGAAGCAGAGAACGAGCGGCCTCTTGAAAGGCAGCACGTGAAGGCCTGCTGCCAATGGAGGAAACGCACGCGATCACCCTGGCGTATCAGGAGCAGATATCCATGCCGTTCGTACGGCGGTACGGCCACCGTACCGGTACGGACCGGACATTTGTACGGACTGGACTTGTACGGAAAAAGTACGGAATTTTTCAGTCGGCAAAGCTGGTCACTGGTCATCCTCGGGATTCACAATCCTTCTAGGCGTCATAGAATCGATCGACACGCCACGTCGGCGCTCGAATAGGGAACCGAGCCTGATGATGCTGATGACAATGACCGGTGACATAATGTTCGACAAATACCGCGAGATCAGCTGCGGAAGAGAGTCCTTAGAGGCGCCCGCCACACTCAAGGGGAGGCCCGCCGAAGACCGGAGTACGGATTCCCAGTTCGGTATTGATTCTCATAGTGGATACTCCTGAGCCCGACAGGTCAAGGCGCAAGCAATAGACGAGGAGCGCATCTCTACGATGGAATGATTTCAGGTCCAAGTGAGAGAGATCGATAGGCCCCCAGCTGAATCGATTGAAACCATAATTCTTGAGCCTCGCAAATCTCGGTCGGTATATGTAAATCTGGTTAAAACTATCCCAATGAGAACACCGTGACTCCTGGATGACGTCCGCACAAGGACTGCTGTTTACGTTTATTCGGAGACTTCGAGATGCCACACTTGACTCAGTGTGGCGCTGCCGTCAACAGTATATATAATACGAACTTGACGCTAGATTCATCCATCAAGAAGCAGGGACAGGGACCGAATGGAGATTTATGAAATATCAAGCTTATTTTATTCAGGAATTCAGGACATAAAGCACGCAGTCGACATTCTTGTTGACTCCTCTGGCTTTCGATAGCTTATCGAATTGCACCGCCAGCGGGATGGAGCGGAAGTAGGGGAATTCGGACGGTTGTTCAGTATGCTCTGATGCCGACTCTTTTTTCAACGGCGGTTTGATGAGGGTTCATGGTTCATCCTGGAGCGATCCGGCCTTCTCCAAACCACAGGAAGGCTTTGGAGAAGGCCGGAGGTCTGGAGGCCCAGCGATGCATTGGCTTCGCTCCAGACCCCAGGGGTGTGTCTCAGTCGGATCGGGGTGAGGATGCGGGTTTAGCGTAATAGCTCCGCAGGAAAAGCATGGAAGAGAAGTTCGAGTCCTTCAGTCGCTCGCGGGAGTATCTTCTCAAGTTCCTCGCGGTACTGAAAAGCCTTTCAGCTGAGACGCTAGTTGGGGAAATGTTCCTCAAGCCCGTCACCAGACTATCAGGGA